AGGCTTGGAGAGAAGGTGGTTTCTTCCAAACAGTCGCGTACTGTAGTGAGCATAAGAATAAGAAACCATAAACAAACAGTCCTCCAAGGAAATAATTTTAAGCTGATAGTTCAATTCTGAGTTGCATACACAAGCACTCTAGCTGATATGTCCATGCAATTAAAAATCATTATGTTTATACTGAACCATCCCTAGGTTTTAGCAACCTCTAAAAACATTTTGGCACTTTGAACTAAGTTGTGAGCAGTTGCAGACCTCATGTTGCCGTCTCTGAATGGTTCTGTGGATTTCTGTGGTGAATGTAGCAATGTCTTTCTGAAAGCACTTTATGATACCTTTAGTATAAAAGACTTCTATCTAAAGTCTCATTCTGTAGTCTGTCTCTCCTTCTGCCTCAAGCCATCTTCCAAGAGAACCAGGTTGTTTAATTTCCAAGCGTAATTTAACATAGTCTAAATTTCAGTATTAAAAATCAAGAAGCAGCTATGTTCAGCAGCCTCATGTAGATAGGTAAATATAGAACCATAGAATCATAGAATGGTTTGGGTTGGAAAGGACCTTAAGATCATCTAGTTCCAGCCCTCCTGCCATGGGCAGGGACACCCCACACTAGACCAAAGACCCTGTTCAACCTGGCCTTGAAAACTGCCAGGGATGGAGCATTTACCAGTTCTCTGGACAACCTGTTCCAGTGCCTCACCACCCTCACAGTAAAGAATTTCTTCCTTATATCTAACCTGAACTTCTCCTGTTTAAGTTTGAACCTGTTACCCCTTGTCCTATCACTACAGTCCCTGATGAAGAGTCCCTCTTATCTGAAGGAAGGAAAGGGTAACTATATGCTTGATGAATCAGATTTGACTTTTGTAGTAAGCTTGCTTTCTGATTGAGGATGTTGGTGTTCCCTCCCATCACCATTTTTTTTCCTCCTGATTCAAAAGGAAAAGAACCAATTTGTTACAAAGCAATTCTGCCTTATGCTCCAAAGACATGAGTTTTTAAAATCTAAAAATCCTTACCTTGGGGTTAGGCTTTTACTGTCATAGGTGAGAAAAATGTGTTACTGCAGGATTATTCAACAATAGGGAACACCAACAAAATTACATGGCCACCCACTACTTCTGGCAAAAACCAAGTTCAGCACTATCCTTGCTTTCTTTCTCTCCCAGAACTCTAACATTTGCTAATGTGTATTAGCTTTGAAGGGCAGATAGTTCCCTAAGCAGAGAGCTTTTTACAGCCTTTAGTAATTTGTTTCCCTCACAATTGAATATGCATTTCTCTTGTAGGTTCATGATAGGTTTGTTTCAGAAAGATGACAAATTGGTTTTGGGTAGTGATTTACATAAAAATGCAAAAAAAGTGCATTGTAAAGCCAAAATGAAAGTAAGGGCTTTTTCTGTCTTCTGTGCCTGTGAGCAGAAAGCTGTGGCATTGATTGATGCAATACTATGAGCATTCTGCATAATTCTTTTTTTATTCCTTGTACTTAAAGTTTATCAGAATCGGCAATATCTGCATGACACAAAGCCACATTGATGAATTGGCACTACTGATCAAAGAACTAAAGATTCTTCTACACAAGTGAAATGTCACATCCTGTCCTTTAAGCCTAATAGTGTCCTGAAGTCCATATTTACTGAAATTCCAGTTATATTTTGTTCTTATTTGTACTGGGAGAATACTTGTACTTAACCATTAATACAGTAAAAAACACTGGTGCCGGTTGGCTTAATAGTAGTTTGGACCAACGCCAATGGAGACCAGTACTGATCATTACTGGTGATGGTTTTCATAGTTGGTCTTCTTTTAAGTTGTAAGTTACCCACATTTTCATCATTTTGGCTGAAAACCAGCATGTGTAAAATTACTGAGATGACTCAGTCAAATCAGCAAGTTAGGAAATGCAGAGATGCTTTGTAAAAATGCAGTTTGTGGGTAGTTGAAGTACGAGGTTACTCTTGAAAAAAAATGATGATGATTGTAAGACATAAAAAAATGGTATTTCAAACATCCAGGTGGCTGACCAGACATTTCTTAAATGCATGTTGTTTGAACATTTTAAGGGCTGAAAAAGGACAGCTTCAAAGGTATTGTAGATCTATTTTTTATGAATAAGCTTTTTGTTTTGGTGTGGGGAGCCAGCTAAGGATGTAGGGAAAGAAAGGGTTGACCCGAAAAGGACTTCTACCTCAGCAGTGAACAGCAGTCATTTCTGTTAACAATTCACTATATTTCTGTCCTTTGTTTTGCCTGAAAAAGTTGAATTATTTTGTTGTTACTGTGTTGTCAAGAACAGCTGGGGAAATTAGATTCCATCCTTTCATCTGTGACAGATTCCCTGGAAATGCTAAGCCAGACACATACACAATGTTTTTTTTTTCCCTGCCTTGAACACCTGATACCTGTGTGCTGAGTGTTTCCTGCTGCAGCTGGTGTCCAGGAGAGATTTGCCCACACCATTGTTATAAAATGATAACACACACTGCAAGAAAGGATTCTAGTTCACTTATTTTGGGTATCTATCTGTTATGAATTAGTATTTTTTAGCTTAATCTCTTTGCCCAGTGGCTCCTTGTTTTTAAAGCGATTGCAGTGATTAAAGCTGGTGCCTGAGTTGTTAGGCAGAATCCATTTGGTTTAATGAAGCCACCCTAGTCAGCATCCACAGGTACCTGATGGGACTGTGTTGATGTGAAAGCTGATGTAGGAAGTGAGGCCTGCTTGGTCTTCTGCCAGCCCAGATAGATATCATCCCAGATGCAACCACAGCGGTGGTCTGAGCATCCTGATGCCACATCCAGCGTGGAGCCTGTGGCTCAGTTTCCTGCCAGGCAGGCTGCCACCAAAATGAGCCACTGCTGGGTCCCCCCTGCCTGCACTTCAGCTTATTTAAGAACAAACAAACAAACAAATCCCTTCAGATTACCCTGGGGTAGGTAAGAAAGCTTCCAGAGCTGATGGCTGCCTCCTCAAGCTCTTTCAGAAGCCAGATAAATAAATGGTCCCACTGTGGAAGACTTTGAAGTATTTGTGTGAGAGTAGGATGCGTCACCTGCTTCCTCTGAAACTGAGGCATTATCCAGACACGGTTGCAGGGTTGCATTCTCTGTTTCTATCTTTCCTTTCTCCCACAAATTGCCTGTGTTGAGAATGACCATCTTTTCAGAAAACGATTTTTATGTTTTTTTTTCCCCCAGACATATAAACTTCCTATAGAATAGAAATTCCAGTTCCCTCATAGCATTAATAAAAGTTGTTGGAAGAAGCACACATGTTAAATGTTAAGGAAGCAGTTAAATATGATAGAAATCAGGACTTAAATTTATTATCCTCATATCTGTGGTAATGCATGGTATCAAAACCAATACTAAATAGCAAGAAAATGGAAAAGCTTCTCAAATTGTTTGTCCTGAAGGAGAGGGTGTCATTAGGAGAATGCAAGTAAAGCCTGATCCTGAATCCATATGCATGTTTTAGTAGAGAGGAGAATATGTTTATGTGCAATTTTAATTCTGATATTTCCTATCTCATAGCATCTTGATTTTTTCAACAGTGAAAATTTTGTTTAACATATTTGTGTCTGTAACTGCATTTAGGTAAACACTTGCTAATGTGTGTATGGGGTGGTTGGGGGAGCTGGGGGAGACAGGTTGTGCCCCTGTAACAGGTATGCAGAGAATCCAGTCTGGGTAATTATATGTCTACATAATTTGAGGTTAATAGTCATCATTTATTCAGTGAGGTTTTAGTGAATTTATAATGAAGGTCACTGATGCTCAGTTTATCAGGTGAATTAGTCTTGTTCCCACCAGATGGGTGAAGATCATAAGTATCTCTAAAACTGATTGCCAGGACCTTAGTGTTTCATTCATCTGCTTCACTTGATATCTTTCCTGTGCAACCTGAGACTTGATTTCAGTGAATTTTCTGACATCATCCATTTTAGTGGCCTTTATTAATATATATTATACCAGTAGTGAAGTTTCACCAAAAGCAACTGAAATGTTCTAATTATTTCACACAAGATTTTGATCATATTCTGTGTAATTGCCTCAGATTTACTCCTCTGTAATTGAGATCATAAATTGACTTGATATGTTAATGACTTTAATGTAACATTAAAAAAAATGATGAAACCATTTAATGAATATTTTCAAATGGGGTCACCTACTTGCTCATGTGTTCAGACAAAAGGGCATCTGATTAGTTTGATACAGGTCATCTAGGGAATGTTAGGCAAAGGCCAATGTTAGTGTCCCTAAGTGCTGTCAGAAAGGGTGCTTCATAGAGAGATAATATCTGAAAGAGCGGAATAAGCAGGTTCTTGTTGGCAACAACACAATCAAAATTCAAGTTGGATTAGCATTTTGGCAGCTGGAATTTCTTTCAAGTAGAATAAGGCTGCTGGATCCTACCAGTTCATAGTAAATGACAGCAAAGGCAAAAAGCAGGCAAGATTGCCATGGGGGCCAGGAAGACGTGAAACATATACACTTTTGAGATGTACAGGTGCTGACATACCTACTTTCTGTTCCAGCTATTAAAAATGATCCATTTCTGGTGGGTAATCATAACCACTTGTGATAGCAGTGCTCTTCACAGGTGTACTCTGTAACCTGCCTGGCTCAGCAAAGGCTGCTGTGGTTTTTAACTCAATAACAAACTGATGCTGCACTAAAAGGCAAAAGCCTTAGACCACTAATATGCCATTTTCTTCCAGTTCCAGAGAGGTGAAATAAGTTTTGGGTTTTGGTCCCCACACTCTGGATTATTTCCTTTCTTCTTCCAATGACACAGTTCGATACAAAACCTTAAAATGGTTTTGTATCAAACTGGGAAAACACTGGGAAGGAAGAAGCAGAATTTAAGAACTCCCCTTTCTCTCCGAATAACTCAGTGTTACCTGTAGTTATGTTCCTTTTGCTGTTCTCCTTTTGCACCAGGAATATTGCCCTCAAGGGAAGAGAATGTTATTTTCAGCTCAGTTGACCGTCTGTCCTGGGTTCAGCAGCAGCAGTCATTTTTCTCCTTCTTAGTAGCTGGTGCAGTGCTGTGGTTTTGACTTTCAGTCTGGGAACAGCGCTGATAACATCGATGTTTTTAGTTGCTGCTCAGTAGTGTTTGGTCTGACCAAGGACTTTGTGAGTCTCATGCTCTGCCAGGGAGGAGGGGAAGCCGGGAGGAGGCAGAGACAGGGCACCTGACCCAAACTGACCAAAGAGGTATTCCATACCACAGCACGTCATGGCCAGGATGTAAACTGGAGGCAGTTACCCGGAAGGGCTAGATCACTGCTCGGGTCAGGCTGGGTATTGGTTGGCAGGTGGTGAGTGGCTGTATTCTCTTCCCTTGTTATTTCCTTAGCATTATTATTATTATTGGTGGTAGCAGCAGTGGTTTGTGTTACACCTTAGTTACTGGACTGCTCTTATCTCAACCCATGGGAATTATATTCTTTCAATTCTCCTCCCCATCCCTCCAGGAGCAGGGAGGAGGAAGGGGCTGAAATGAGAGAGCGAGCTGTGTGTCTGGGCTTAAACCACGACAGTTCTTTTTGGCACCCAACGTGGGGCCCGAAGGGTTGAGATAATGACAGGTCTGACTGCAGTGTTTCTAATTGCATTTATGATAAGCGTTCATTTTTTTGGATTAATAGTCACTCATCACAATGCTGACTTATTGGCTCTCAAAGTTGTTGCTCTTGATCTCACAGTTTCAGCGTGTTGTACCATACTTACAGCCGGTATTTGCTGTGTTAGTGTCTATTGGCTGGGGACCTTGGGCTAAGGTTCTTGTTTCATTGTACTTTATGGTAATGACTTGTAATACAATAGACTCATTGATCATAAAACTGATCTGGCTTGCGTTCCCAGTCTGGTCACCACCTCTACACTTTGGGAAATATATAATAGAATTGCTTAGCAATTACACATCTTTTTTCCCCTCCTCAGGTGGTCAGCCTGTGAGGGAGACATTCCCACATGCCTTAGTGACAAGTACAGCAGCTACACCAACCCCAGTGACAAGTACAGCAGCTACTCAAACTCTGATCCCAGTAGACAGTGCAGCTACTCCAGCTCCAGTCACAGCAGCTACACCAGCCCCAGTGACAAGTACAGCAGCATCAACTGAGAGTTCTGAAGGTTTTGAATGGCCTTTGGGTATCCTTGGGACCTGCCTGCTGATTGTGATGGGGATCAGCATGGTGGCACACACAGAGACTGTGTTTTACCCACCACCATTTTGTCTGATCTCAAAAGTTAAGCAGAGTCGGGTTTGGGTCTTGTCTGGGGTTAGATGACGATATAGGAGGACCAGGAGATTTTCCCCGAGGCTGGACAGTCATGAGTGGCAGGGTGTGTGGGACAGTATGGGCAAGTATCTAGTCCACTGGGCCCCTCCAGTGCTTTGGAAGTGTCGGAGATGGAATGCAGCTGTATGGAGTCCCCAGCAACAAGTTGCAGAAAGTGTTGAAGGGGAGGGTGAATTATTTTTGGCCTGGTGGGCCCATGGCACTTCAGGCCATCAGGGCAACATACAGATGGACTCATGATTGAGTGGTGGACTTAGCAATGGACACTATTGCCCAGGTGATTCACAAGTGTGAAACATGCTGCAATTAAGCAAGCCAAGCGGTTAAAGCCTCTCTGGTATGGAGGACGATGGCTGAAGTACAGGTACGGGGAGGCCTGCTAGACTGACTACATCACACTCTCTCTCCTGCTCTGAAAGACTGTTACAAGAGTTGGAGCCTGACATCATGGACCGGATGGACTCAGCAGCTTTATAGGGATTGGTCCATGAACTAAGGAATGATCTCTCTCTCTCTCTCTCTGTAGATGTACATATATATATATATATATGAGATAAGTATATTGAAAATGTGGGATCTGAGCATAACGTGAATAGTATGGAATAAGTGGTGGATACTGTCCTGGGTTCAGCAATAGCAGTCATTTTTCTCCTTCTTAGTAGCTGGTGCAGTGCTGTGGTTTTGACTTTCAGCCCGGGAACAATGCTGGTAACACCAATGTTTTTAGTGTTGCTAAGTCATGTTTACTCTGACCAAGGACTTTGTGAGTCTCATGCTCTGCCAGGGAGGAGGGGAAGCCAGGAGGAAGCAGAGACAGGACACCTGACCCAAACTAGCCAAAGAGGTATTCCATACCACAGCATGTCATGCCCAGGATGTAGAACTGGGGGCAGTTACCCAGAAGGGCTAGATCACTGCTAGGGTCGGGCTGGGTATCGGTCGGTGGGTGGTGGGCAGTTGTATTCTCTTCTCTTGTTATTTCCCATATCATTATTATTATTGGTGGCAGCAGGAGTGATTTGTGTTATACCTTAGTTACTGGACTGTTCTTATCTTAGCCCGTGGGAGTTATAATCTTTCAATTCTCCTCCCCGTCCCTCCGGGAGTGGGGGGGACAAAGGGGGGAGTGAGAGAACGGGCTGCGTGGGTGGGCTTAAACCACAACACCGTCCACTTGTTCTAACTCCTCCTAAACTGGAATAAATGGTATTGGGATGAGTGGTGTTTTCAGATGTTACAGCTGCTGTCTTTTGCATAGAACTCAGTACTTAAACATCTACCACTTAAAGACCTTTGAGGGACTTTGTTTCAAGAAAGCTGAATCTAATTACATGTTAAGTTATTGAAACTATGACATATGTGATTACCTGCTTTAGATTGAAGTAACTTGTCACATTCCTGGTAAATAGGAGAACAGTAATGAACTTTATATGATGACTACTCAGTTTAGGAAGCTATATAGTGAAGGATATTTATTAAGGAGAAAGGTTTCATGTTGCAAGTTTGGACTTGGCTCCAGCCATCAAGTCCTGCTCTCAAAGTCAAGGCACTGTTTCAGTTCTGCTGTGACTTCCCAGGAGTCACACAGGGAGAAAATCTTTTTCTGAACTGAGAGCTCAGTCTGGGATTTTTATAGCTCCTGATCCAGGCCCTTTCCAAAGACGTGTGGATTCTGTTGCCCATATGCTCTCACATGTGCCTCCTGATGCCCCAGAGAGAACTGCTGTGTTTTCTTCTTTTTCTTCAGCCTCTATCATTTTTGATTGTGTTCTGATGTTTTGAATTACATGTAATACAAGTTCAGAGGCTAGTAGTCCTTCTCAGTAAACACAGACTAGTTTTCTCAAACAAGCTTCTGCTTTTTTTTCTCACTTTGCTACTTCCTTTTACCCTATAGCTATGTGCTTTCCATTATGGCTCTAAAGGAATTGTCACTTTAGTTATCTCAAGAAACTAAAGCAGTTGGGTTTTTTTTAACACAAATATTGCATGTGGTTTACTGTATGTTCCTAGAAGACTCAAGTACAAACCTCAGTGTCTGGGAAGGGGAAGTGTTTGGAAGGTTTCCAATAATTTTTAATCCTCTGTTTAATTGCAAACTAGAAACCTGAATAAAAAAAGGGATATGTTGTTCAAACTTAGCAAAGGTCTGCGCTAAATCTCTGCTACTCCTCTAGAACCACAGGATTATTTCACAAGACATCAGTATTTAGGATGATCTATTCTCTGGAACAACAGGGCTTGTCCCTTAACTGTGACAGTTTAATGAAGTAAAAAAAGGAGTCTGAGGTGGATCACCATTCTATTTACTGGGCTGTTTCTTTCATCTTGCTTATGTTTCCCATTCTTCTTCTAGTGTGTGAGGTTCTGTGGTTAAATTGCAGGCTGGGGAGTCTGACAATTTGTGTTGTATTCCCAGTTCTGCCACAAAGTTGACATAGCAGGATGTATGGCTTAGCTCACAGCCATTTTTTTATTATAAATATAGGAACATTACAATGTGTGCAGTTGCATACCTAATTTATGCACATAGCTGTAACAGTGACCGTACATGTAAATGAGATATTTGCAGATGCAAATAGCTACTTATGCATATAACAGGCCAACAGGAACACACAGTGGTAATTATACCCACAAACTGTATGAATGAATGAACAGACATGTTAGGAAAATCAGACTGCTGGCTTCACTGTTCATTTGTACCATTTTAAGACCACAAGAATATCATTAATATTCCTAACCATGCTGAAGCATGGCTTATTACCATTTGTAATGAGCTTTAATATTATTAAGTGGGAGGTGCTAAAGATCAGCATTTTTTTTTTATCTGTGCCTGGGAGATTAATTTATTTCATAGATTCTTCCCTTTGGGTGATCCTGAAAATTTATGAGTTCGTGCTTGGCTCATATTTGCAGAACTTTGTATCACAGGGCTGGCTAACCCAGGTAAATGCGTGTTGTTATTCCCTGGTTCTGAAAAGGAAAAACACGAGCGTGGAGATAAAATGAAGTTACTCTTTCAGTGCTTTTAAACCCTTCCCTGAGTGGTGCCATGCTCTAGGAGGCAGGGTGGGACTGGATGTGGAGGCTGGATGTGCTTGTTTTGTAACTTTGCTTCCATCCCTCAGGCACTTCATGTACAGCCTAGTCAGTGTGATAAAGTAGCAACAGGGGAGAAAAGGAAGGGAAAAGAGCCTGTCAGAAAGAGCTCTTTAAAGTCAATACTCAGGTGACTGAAACGTGAACATCCTGCTTGGGGTTTTTCTTTCAGGACGAACCAAACCAGAGCACCCTGCCTAGGAAACCAGGAAGCTCTGCCAAACACAAAGTCAGGCTAATTGCATGAGAGACCTGTTCACCCAAGGATGGTATTGATCCAGGAGATTTAAACCATCTATTTGCCAAGCTGTGTATTCTAAATAAGTGCTATTTATGAGGCAGTACTTCCAGAACATCATTCCTACTCTTGGCTAGCCCTTGCATTGTTATGCCCTACCAGAGAGTGATTGAGAATCAGTTATGGCTTGGTTGTTTCCACCCAGCTCATTTCTTTTGAGAGTTGCAATGGAAAACTCAATATCTTTTTATCAAATGTTCATTCAGTAACACCAAATTACAAGCAAATGTAAAAGCAATTATCCAGGATAAAATAAGGTAGCAGAAATATAAGTATTTGTTTAATACCATAAATTTTTAATTCTGTATTCTCAATTCTTCCTGATTAGGGCTGTATTTCATGACAGACGACCTTCCAATATACCCTGTGTATGTGGCTTGCTAACTGCTTGGACGGGAGGACACGGTAAATGTTTG